GGGGGGGGGTGTTGAAATATTGAAGCTCAAGGAGGAATTATTGCGTGCATGTTTGTTTTGTTTAGTTGTTAATCGTGCTAACGTTTTTATTAGTGAGGTTGTGCGTTTTATTTTCTGTTCTTTTATTCCAGTAGTCTGGCACGTGTGCCATTGTAATTGAACATGTGTGAGCTGAAGGAATTCCTTTTATTCCCAATATGTTCATCTTCCTCAAAACAGATTTTCTAGATTTGAATGAAAATCGTGTAAGCTTGGCGAAAATGGCGATCTGCCTTTACTTTTGATATTGTTTTCGATTCTTCAATTTTTCGTATACACATTTCTACAAATAAATTGCATAATTTAATGAAATTATACAAGAATTTGTAGGGTTGTCAGAAAAACCCACCGGGTCGGGTTACCCGCGGGTAACCCGAAAAATCGGGTCGGGTATACCCGATAAGAGCGGGTTTTGGGTCGGGTTTGGGTTTTTCTTTTGTACCCGGAGACCGGGTCGGGTCGGGTACGGGTTTGCCAAAAAAACCCATTACCCGACCCGTTTACCCGACCTGTTTACCCGGTGGGTTTTTTTCTACCCGACCCGATTTTTTACCCGCACACTTAATTACTATAGATACAAATAAATATACAAAAAATATATGTTCCAAAAAAAATAATTTAGGAACTAAAATATTTTAAAATTTTTATATATATTGAAAAATGAATATGGAGTATATTCATATAATTTGGACATAATATTTTGTTACTTCTTCTATTTTTATAAGTATGAGCATCACATATATAAATATGATCAATTTATATTTTTTATATAAAAAAAGAATAACTCTAATTATTATAAATGACATATATATAATAAATAATAATAAACAAGATAATAAGTTTATACGGGTGTAGTTTGTTTTATATATTTACATCTTTACAAATATTTAAAATATGAGTAACTATGTATTATCCAAGTAAAATTCTATGTATAAATCTATGAAGTTGTGTCTTTACCAAATACCAAGTGTTAGATATATCTCGCTATATGATTTCAAATAAACATTATATTGTCAATTTGAATTTCAAATTACATCATATTACTCAACAAAAACAAAAATTAATTTTAGTGTTATATTTCATAATCATGTTTTACAATTTATTTTGCATTTCAATATAATTTCTTTATTCATGTATGAAGAGCAAGTAGAACATAATTATGAATTGTAATTTAATTGGAATATAGGAGGATTCTATATGTTGAATTTATCAATTATCTATGCCCATAATTTGTTTTTTTAATTTACCAATAGTTCTAAGTAGTATTATTTTACGTATCGTGATCTCTCTATTTCAAACTATGAGTAATTAAGCATTATCCAAATAAAATGCTATGCATATATTTATAACGTATTACCGTTGTTTCTTTAGAGTATGATCATCGGCAATTCGTAAAACGTCAAAATCGTGTATAATATGCGACAAAACTAATAACATACTTTTTTTTAAAATCTAGACATCTGTTTATTTTTCTACCAATTGTTTGATATCTCTCATTATTTCATTTCAAATAAATATTATATTGTCAATTTGAATTTAAAAGTACATCTTATTGCATATTTTTTAACAAACACAAAAATTAATTTCAGTAGTATGTTTTATAATCAATGTTTATAATTTATTATACATTTCAATATGATTTCTTTATCCTAGATGAATAGCAAGTAGAACGTAATTATGAATCAAAATTTTATTGAAATTTAATACGATATTATATTGAATTTACCAATTACATATGCCCATAATTTGTTTATTTAATTTACCAATACTTATAAGTAATATTATTTATGTATCATGATCTCTCTAGCTTAAAATTTGTGTATTCCCTTATCTTTAAGATCAAGTTAAGAATTTCAAATATTTGTTATGAAAATAATTCTTAAATCAACAAAAAATATAAAAGAAAGTGTACAAATAGTTTGGTATATAGATTGCGATTTTTAACTTGATATGTTTTACATATTAAACACTATAAAAATGATATTACTTATGTGATTGATGATAGTTCAAATGCATGTTTTTTTTTTCTCTTTTTTTTTTGTTTTTGTGTACATGGTCGGGTCGGGTCGGGTCGGGTGTAGGGTAATCGGGTGAAATTCGGGTAAACGGGTAAAAAAAACCCGAACAAATTTGACCGGAATTATTAATTCGGGTAACCCGATTACCCGACGGGTACCCGATTGCCCGACGGGTAAAACCCAACCCGAACCCGGTGATGGGTAACCGGGTAACGGGTCGGGTACGGGTACGGGTTTTTCTTGGCGGGTCGGGTACGGGTATGTCAAAACCCGTACCCGACCCGACCCATTTACATCCCTAAGTATTTGTGTCAAATATTAGGTTAAAATTAACAATAATCACTAAATTGCAAGAGATGTTAGTTATTGAAGGCTTAAAGTTAAAGAAAAATAATAAATAATGATAAATATCACTAAAAAAAAAAGAATTTAAGTCCTATTAAAGGATAGGGCATCGCCTGGTGGGCCGGATATCCTCGGCACCATTAATTAGAGGATTAATTATTATTTGTACTAATTAGATTAATGATCCTCCAAAATGTTCTAAAATGTGCTATTAATACCCACCAAATTAGGGACGTGATTTAATGTTATGGGGGTTAAAATAAAGCTTTTCAAATAAAAAGAAATAAGTGGTATTTTTTTGTGGGGTCAAATTTTACCTTTTTAGATTAATGTCTCGAGGAGATCTGTCTTCGAAGTTGTTATATTGCATTTTTGTACTATGGAATGCTTGGATATATTTTTTTTTTTAATATATTGGATTTTTTGGTTTGATATGGTTAATTTTGAAAAAAAAAAAATTGTATGGTTCATAGTTTTTTGACCGAGACCGGCACGGGTCCCGGGTTGACCCGTAGCCGAAACTGGTCCGTATGGGCTATTTGGACCGGGCAACAAAGGACCCAGTCAAACCCGGGCAAACCGACATTGACCCGATCGGCCCGGTGCATTGACCCGACCGGGTCAACCCAGTTGACCCAACCCATATATATTTTTTATTTTTTTTTTTTCAAAATAAAATTATGTATATATGTTTATATATATGGTAAATTTTATCATGAGATTCATATTATTAACACTTTAATGTACAAATTTTATACACCAAATATTTAATTTTGTTGCTTTTAAGTATATTTATATGATGAAAATACTCTATATATAATTTTAAAGATTATCCGGTTCAACAATTGACCCGGTGACTCGACGGTTGAACCGGTGACCCGATAACCCGAAGACCTGCCCGAGTCGATTATCGGACCGAGTTTAAATACTATGGTATGGTTAGTTGTTAGTTTGATTTTGAATTTATATGAGAATAATATTTAAAATAAAATAATTAGTGTTGATTTGATGTAAAAGTAGAAAAATGTGATGTGAACTGATGATTAGTTAATTGATATAATATGTAAGAATGATTGATTGATATTACTAATTATATTGATAATATCGAGGATAGTGACGTTTCAGAGTTGAGTTAAATTTGAGTTAAATGAGTGATTGATTAAAAATGATTGGATATTTTTAGATAACTTTGTATCCTAGCATCCCCTTAACATCATTTTATATAATGTTAGTTATCTTTCAGTGTAATTTTCTATTTAATACATATTATATGACAATAAATTGTAGAATGAAATAATAGTTGAGTATTATGATGAATTAAAAAATGGAGATTTTATTTTGGTATGAAATGTCCGAATTTAAATAGAAAGAATTTCATTTTTTATGGATAAAAGTGCATTTAGAAATTTTAAAAATAAAATAAGTGGCATGAACTGTATTTTCTATGGGTATGAAAGTCGAATTTTAGGTTAATTTGTTATAAAATCAAGGTGATATGACTATCGAATTTTAACATAGATAATTTTCGGCAAATTGATATGTATTCCTCTTGAAAAATTAGAAAGATCTTTAAACAAATATTTGTTTATTATATTTATAATTTATAATTTAATTTCAGAAAATTAGTTGATAACTTTGTATGACAAGGTAAGCGACAACAAATCTAAAAGATTTCTAACTTAGTAAAATATAGATCTCCATAAAATATGTAAGAGAATATTGTGTTGTCCAAGTTTTAGTTTAAAATTTAAAATGAAAATAAGTAATTATTCATAACTTAGAGGTCAATATTAACTTAGATGTAAAGTGAATAGTAAATTATTTATAGTTTAATAAATTACTCAACTACTTAAATTCTTTGATTTTGATAGTTTACATAAACATAAATTTATTTTTATCAATAAAGAATATAAATTTTTTTATTACACTTATTGTTCACATAGATTTTTAAATATATGAAAATTTTTTACCAAACCTATTATTTCATGAAACCACATTTTATTCAAGTCGAATTTCTAAATAGATAATTTAAAATAACACTTATTTTAAAATGAATATAATGTAATTTATCAGGCTATGTACTAATTTTAAATAGACATATTTTATGTAATTTTTCTCAAGATAAGTTTCATTTAACATTTTAAATAAATTAATATAGGTAAATTATATTATATAATAATTTAATATTTTTAACTTATAAATATTATTTGATGAGCATTTTAGATATAATATTAATGAATAAAGTAGAGGACATAATTTTTTTCTTAATAAAACGCTTTTATTAAACAGATTTTAACGATTTTAACGATTTTAGAGAGTCCGGGGACCCCAAACAGATTTTGACAACGCTTTCTACTAAAATCGGAGAATTGTCACTTTTATAAGACCGTCCCTCCATTGCATTCCATAGCTCTCTCTCTCTCTCTCTCTCTCTCTCTCTCTCTCTCTCTCTCTCTCTCTACGCTCACCCACATCACGCAGTGCTGCTGATTATAAGGTAATTTCTAAACATTTCTTCTGTTCTGTAATCGAAATCGATCACTCGAAGTAGTTCGCATTGATATGAAGTTAGTGTTCTTCGCTAATTGTCCGTTTTTGTTAGTGAGCAGCTGAATCACTGTGCCGCTCGCTGGTCGAGGAGAGCTGAACTTCGGATCCGATTTTGCGGTTTGAGTATCTGCAAAAAGTTGCAATCGACGAAGGTGATCGCTTAATCCAGTTTTATTTACTGTGTATTTTGATTAATGTTCGTTAATGTCTACGTATGACATGGTTGGATTACTCGAGTGCTCCATCAATTAGGCTGTTTTTACGTTGTTTATCGCATCAATTATTAGGTATTCTCTATTTTGTAGTTGTCGTATTCTTCATTGATTAGGAATTAGCCGACTATCTTCTGAGCTGCAGCTGATTGCCATCTTCGTGTGTTTTTATCTCATCAATTATTAGGTATTCTTCTATTTTGTGGTTGTTGTATTCTTCATTGATTAGGAATTATGCTCGATTAACTTCTGAGCTGCAGCTGATTGCCATTTTTCGTGTATTTTTATCTCATCAATTATTAGGTATTCTCTATTTTGTGGTTGTTGTTTTCTTCATTGATTAGGAATTATGCTCGACTAACTTCTGAGCTGCAGCTGATTGCCATCTTCGTGTGTTTACATCTTGTGTTTGTGAATCAACAGTGTAAATGTAAATTTTCCTCTTTTTTTCTTTTATTATTTATTAGTTAGGTTTGTTTGTTTTGTGATTTGGTAGATAGAGTTCCAGATCAGGTTGTCATGAAAAATACTTCGACTATTTGTCGTTGGTAATTTTTTAGATGAGTTCTTTTGCCTAGATGTTGGCTTTGTAAATCACTACAGAGAGACTCGTTTTGCTAGATGGTTTGAGAGTTAGACTGGAATTAGTTGACTGTTCTTAAAGCAGAGGCATAAACTCCTTGTCTAGTCTGACATATGCTCAATGTAGACTTTTCTAGTTTTGTTTCTCTATGTTCCTTTGAATTTGGTTCGATTTATTTTCTTCTTTCTGTGTATCTTTTGGGTGCATGTAAAGGTTATTGTGCCAAGCTTCTTAGGTTTGTGTAGCAAAAAAGAAAAGTAGTGATACTTTTGTGTTGATCATTAAACTATAGTCATTTTTTCACTAGTTGCTTGTAAAAACTGAAACGAAATAGAATTTTGAAAAGAAGGAACAATAGCATCAATTCAGTCATATCAGTTTATAATAACAATTTGAGTTGTGTGCTATCATAAAATACACAGGCATATTGACCCCCCCAAATTACATATTATTGGTTGGTAGATTTCTGCTTTAGCACCATTTATGGCCACTACGAACTTTGGTGCATAGATTTATGCTTTAGCACCATTTTACGGCCACTAGCAAAGATTGGACTATTAATTTTGCTTCTCTCATTTTGCAGGTTCTATACAAAATGGAAGATGGAAGTAGTATTGCTATGGCAAAACGCATGAAAGTTGCTGTATGTTCTACTCGTTTTGCTCTTTCCTACTGGCAGTATTATTGGAAAAGGAGATAAGTAATATAGAATCACAGTTCGTGTAACTAAGATTCTAATCAATAGGTGGAGGATGGGGAGACCTTGGTGGAAGGTGAATCCACTGCACTGGTTTCAGTCGAAGAAAACGGACCAAGAGCTTCTGAACAAGTAAAGACTGAAATTGCTCATATTCTTGAAAAGATCAACAGCTTCACTGAAATGGTAAGAATATTACAATGTTGGTACCAAAATTTTCTTTAATTAATCTGAGATGGATAATTCATGTATATGAAATGAATAATTTTTATTTATAACTGCATAAATCGCCGTTTATGGAATTATCTGCTAGAGACTGCCTGCGACTGTGATTTCTTACAGGTGTCTGAGCTACTAGACTCTGGGAAGTCCATGCTGAAGGAACTGAGCAATGATTTCGAGGAACGCATGATTTCGTAAGAGAAATTAAAGAAAAAAACTTAAAATAGCATGTAACCACAGGAAATGAGAACTTGCATTACCTACTCATACTCTTGCAATTTTGATAGGATACACAAGGAGCAGATTCTGAAGTGGCATGAGGAAATCAATGAACTTCGCTTGCTCGATGCTGCGAATGAGGATGCCGATGCTCTTTTGCAGAATGCTAAGTATCTTCTTCAGATTGCCCATGCTGGCTAGCTCCTTATGCAGTGAATGGTAAGTGTCTACATTTTACAGGAGATCCAATTTGAACGATATTAGTACTTCGCCTTTTCGGAACAATTCAAGTATCTCTTATAGTATACTTGTAATATCGTTAGTAATGACTTCAATCTTGCATTCAGTTTCTTAGTTTGGTGTACAGCATCAGCAACTGTTATGACCATGTTATATAGATATGAGACATTAACAAGTGTTGGATCTGTCAATGTTGAATCCGAAATTCGATGCTTTTCTAGCTTTGCATGGTTAACTGAGAAAAATATTTTAGTGCTTGGGAATTTCTCTTTCATTTTTCCTTTACGATATCTACTTCTAAGTTGAATTTTGGATTGATTAGTATATTGAGTTTTTATATAGTTGGAATGATATCTGAAGGTGAAACATCATATCTTACAAATTATAATCGATCTTACAAACATCATAGGTGCACATTTTTCATAATCAGTTATCGATTATTTGCTGCACTGCACTGATCTCATTTGCATGAGAATTTCAACAAGCTCAAAATCTAATTAGTTTGCTGGCATTACTTCTGGCAAATTTACATGCTTGCTGCTGCGGGATTTAAAAAGAATTGCATACAACGATTAAGAGAAAAACATTAACATTAAAATGAAATTAGGCTGTAATAATTGTGTTTATGCGAGAGTTTATTAAAAAAAAAAAAGGATTCGGTTCCGTTATTTTCGTAATTCATGCGGCCGAACAACAAAAAATAAATAAAAATTCTTTTAAATATGGAAAGAACTTATAATATTACAAATATTTGATCAACAACTTAACTGGGATTTGGAAAGACCTCCAAATTCAAATTTGAAATTCAAAAGTCATTAGAGTCGATCGCCATACAATTTTTTCATGTTCAAGGACAAAGAACACATATATGGTACATAAACTCCAATTGTCACGAAAGTGAACAGTATGTGTGATAATTTGTGATCACATAAATACTAAAATCTTCGGTTTTATTTTTATTTTTATTTTTTGGTTTATTTTTTTATTTTATTTTTTTTTTTTTTTAACAAATGGATTCTGCATCAATAAGTATCTTGGCTTGATGTGCAGTTCAGTCTCTTTTCTTTCGTTCAGTTCGGTTATGTCCTTGTAGCTGTCATTGTGATTTGTGATGGTGTCTTGTATACTCTTGTATTATCTGTTGGTGACTGCTAGCTTGGGTTTGTATGTGAGAGGGTAAGGTTGCGGCTGGTTAGGCTGCCTTAACCTCTGTGCTAATTCTGGTGCGTTGTCTCGAGTGTGTTAGTGCTAGGCCACCGTGTTGTGTGGTTCTCATGTTCCTTGTAACATTGAGCTATTTAGCTCTTGGATGTATTTGTGGGATTGATATAAAATTTCCTATCGTTGCGAAAAAAAAAAAAAAAAAATGGATTCTGTCATGATGATATTTATGATGATATTCATTCATCATAGTGGTGACTGGATTCAGAATGAATACAAATATTTTCAGTTGTCTGGTGTGTTTGTTCAACAAAATTGCAGCTACAACGAATTATGTAGCGTAGTGGTTGAAAAAATTGGAGTTATGTCGCCCGAATCTTGTTTAGAGTAAAATATCAATTGAAAGAAGGATATCCACCAATGTGCATAGATGACGATAGCAATCTTAAATTCTACGTGAAATTCATGAAGTCAAGGGAACCAGACTACACGAAGCATCACGTGTGTGTTGTCATGAAGTCTCCAATTAATGTTCCATGGTCATTTGAGAGAGCCACAAATATTGAGGAAATGTATTTAAGTTAAAAAAAAATATAGCTCCTTTGAGGTACGCTGATTTTGAAAGTTATGTAGAAAATCCTGAAGGGCCTATGAGTCTTATGTTGTTTGCGCGCAAATTAGCAGACGATATGGTGGAAGACGCCACGTATACTGAACATACACTTAAAATATACTCGTCCACTGAAAGAATTGTCTCGATCGAGGATCAATTGATCTCTGATTTAGTTGTTGGTCTTTCATTCAAGGACAAATATATTTCGTACAGGCTATTGAGTGTTCATGCAATAAAGAATCAATATCAGTTCCGGGTGGAAAATTCATGCACTAAACAGTACTACATGAAGTGTGTGTCGGGTGATTGTAAATGGTTTTCGAGAGCATCACGTGTTGGTCACTCAAGCACATTCAAGATAAGAGAGCTTGTGACTGAATATAAATATGCGTTTGACGTTCGAACAAGTAGTCAGATGCAGGAGACTTCTAAAGAGGTTGTGTGAAGATTTGAAAATAGGTTGTGTGAAGGTTTGAAAAATTATCAACTATAACGTTTAGACAAGCCTGAGAAGAGGAGACAAAGGATTCGGGTAAAGAGATTTCTGAAGAAGCATAAAAGAAGTCAATAAAGAGAGATAAAAAGAAGAAAATGATGAAGTGTAGAACATACCCATGAATCGGTCTTGGTAAATGGCATGAAGCGGTGAACTTGTAGGAATCGATAGCAGTATCTAGAGTTTTTAAGCCAAATGATAAATTGTAAGCCAAATGATAAATTGCAGGGAAAGGTTTTTTTTGCAGAAGAGTTGAGGTGTTTAAAAAATGTTAAAAGGGATTAAATGGAGAATATGAGAATTTTTATAAGCCAAGGGGACTGAATAATTAGATGAATCTGACCGTTGAGAGGCACGTAAATCAAGGGCCAAATTTGCGTCCAGTGGACATAGGACGAGTCGAAGGCTCACGATATAATAGGTAAGGCATTTTTGGCATCTTACATTCTCCCAGGCTATCTGACAGTACAACTAATGCAGAAATATACCACATTTAAAGGCACAACAAGGTGCAATTTCAGCAAAAGTCTTGGCAACTCTTTTTTAAACAAGGGGCTAGATGATGTAGCATCCAGAATAGCTAGCTCGGCGGGCTGGCCTGAGTGGCCTAGACATGCTCCAGCTCATTAAAAAGAAGCTAACCCAGTTAAGGACTCGAGAAGTAGCTCAACATACTGGTCGACCTGATAAGATGACCTAGAGACTATGACCTCCAGGAGCTCGGGCATGAAGGATGACCTCAGGATGTCGAGGTCGCTAGTCCAGAGGTCGGGAGTCGACCTCAATAAAGTTACGATAAAAAATTTAGGAGGTCCTGGGTACGACCTGGAGACCTAAGCGTTGTATGAGAAAGGGGGACTAAATCTTAGTAAGATGAAAAATATAGCTAGACAAGGAGACTTTCATGGATTAGAGACGTGGTAAGTTAGGCAAGATGATGTGGTTAGATCTATTTCCTAACAAGGGCTCTGTTGGGCATCAATACACTCATCCTATATAAGGGTAATAAGGTTCCATGTTAATACATGATCACTATCATTGTGCTTTTACATATTGTGCATATACTTTCAAGCTTATTCTCTTGAGCGAGTTATGACTTGAGCGTCGGAGTGTCTATGTTGGGACCACCTTTCAGCGGGATCTCGAGGCAAGAGGGAGTTCGAAAATTGCTCAGTTCAGATCAGTCTGACAAATTGACGCATCATTGGCAATCCACAAATCATAAGATCTTAATTTTAAACTTCAGAATTCGCTGCGCTTAGAATTAAATTCTTAAATTTGCGAACAATTAACTGACGTTCTTTGTCAAACCGAACCGAAACATCAAATAAAAGAGTATAAATTGAAAGATAAATTATCAGATTGTTTGTCGAGTCACTACGATTATTATTTTCTTGAGAATAAAAATCATAATATTCACAGCATGCATTTTATAGACTAAAGTATTATAAAAAATAAAGGAAAGTTATTAGTCCATGTCTCAATAAATCAACTATCAGGTTAAGAAATATAAATTCCAGCTTCGAGATTCAAACGATCTAAAACTGTCAATTTTGGGCCTAAAACCAGTGATTTAAATATTCTTCGTACCGGCCGATAATACCGGATACCGGTCCTTGGTACGTACAATTACACACAAAATATCATATTTACTGTTATACAAGTTTGTACCCAAATCATACCGTAAATACGGAAAAATACCGGTCCAAAATAACAGCCAATATAAAAAATTAATTAAAAAACATAAATTTAAATTGGTAGTTAAAAATTTTTTATCTTATTGAGAAATTGAAATTAATGATTATAGTCATATATTTTTTTTATTTTTTGCATTTGGTAATATATTTTTTTATGTATTGTTGTTAATTGATGTAATCTTACATCAATGGGTAACATCCACTTAAATGTGGTGATTTTACTACTCCATCTCCATTATGTATGGAGTTATGAAGTGTGAATTTATGTCTTCATTAAGTGAGAATTCATGTCTTCATTAATTAGTAAATAGTTGTATGATGACAACTTTAAATTGATGCTTTGTGCATCTTCAAAAGTACACAATACGAGAAGAAAATAAGTTAGAGAAAACAAATAATCTTTAAGTGTATATATCTCTTGTTGAGCCGAAACCATCACGAGGCGGCTCGGGTTTTAGAGCGTGGAGGATACCGACGACTCAAGTAGCCGTCGGATAAAAGATACGGGCGAATATTCGCTTCTGCTATATAAAGGTCACTCCTATATATATTTATATATGTGTTATAAAACCACTAACAGTGGTATTAGAGCCAATTTATTCCTCCGACGTATTTTTTTAAAACGAATATATTTATGTATTTGTTACATAAAAATTCAGTCTATTGATTAACTAAATGTTAAATATAGAATGAGTGTCATTCATGGATTTGTGATCATGAAGATGACATAAAGAGATAATAAAAAAATTGATATGGGTGAATAATTAGGTTTTGTAGCCTAATTAGTGTATAAATAAAGATTTTAATGTGAAGAAGATAAAAATGATTTTACCAATTTATGTCTTCTACTTTTATATTCTTTGATTAATAATAATATTTGTTATTATTATGATTTTTAAATATTTATATGGTATTCATGTTTATCATTGAATTGAAATTGTCATAATATTTGTTATTATGATAAGAAGTATAAATAAATATTTTTTGTAATATT